ACCCCNNCTAAACCCTAAACCCCAAGCCCCATTCTCATGACTCAGGCCCCTACCTTCGGCTTTGCGTTGGAGGCTTGGGGTTTAGGGAGCTCAGGGAGACCCTGACCTGAACCACTAGATTCGACCCCCCACCCGCCTTGAAGCCTAAACCCTCAAAGGACGTGTTTAGGGTTTAGGAATTTGGGTTATGGGTTTTGGGTTTAGGGTTTAGGGTTTAGGGTTATGGGTTTTGGGTTATGGGTTTAGGGTTTTGGGTTTAGGGTTTAGGGTGTAGGGACAAGCCTGCTTGAGTATCCCCATGGAACCGTTACCTGTGCACCAATGGAGGATTCGTCCGGAATTAACAGCCTGGTACACTTGAATAGACTTTCCCAGCTGCTGCAGACTGCGTGGGAGTTTCAGAAAGTTAGGGTACCTTATTTGGGGGTCCTTAGAATAGGGATCCTATTATTTAGGGCACTATATTAGGGTCCCCTACTTTCGGAAACCCTCGCATATGGGAGTCAGGGTCTCCTTTAAGGTCCTTATTACAACAGTGATGCCTTCTTTCTTTGCGGTATCCAGAGAGAGCTGGATATGTAAAGCCCGTCCATGTTAAACCCTGAAGTCCCTGTACATGACAGACGTCACACTGCAACTTTTGAAAGCTTATAGCGGTCCATGGCGTGTTGCTGTCGGAGCTAGAGAGCGGAGGTACAGTCTTAAGTACAATAGCATGTGGGATTATGATGTAGATATCTCTCGCGTGCGCTATAACTTGTGCTAATTCTAGGGTGCTGAAGCAACTTAGTAGTATCATTTTGTGCCGCATGTGAGAATTGTAGCATGGCGTGGAGTACCATATCCAAATCCCTTATATAAGACACGAAGGTACACCACGGTCTACTGCGGCGCATTCCATCACCGGCCTTTGTTGTTCAGGTGATGCAGATCAGCTTTGGCATCTACAAGGGCGGCAATCACCGTGGTACCTGTGTGCAAGGATCGACATACACTGGGACATAGGCTGAACTGTGCGATGTTGCACCGAGTGGGGAGGCCCTTGTTGCTGATGCGGCGTTTGGTGGACACCCCTGATCTGGAGAGTGTCGCTGCTCAAACCGTGATGACGTCCATGCTAATACTCTAGCATGCCTCTCCAGACCATGCATAATCTCCTCAACTATCGAAAATTACGCTGAAACATCCTGCCACCCTATTCACTGTAACACAATTCTGCATAGAGAACGAAACCTGACAATAGAACATGCTTCGCGACATTGCATGAGGTACTGGTCTTTCATGCACTTCTGTGAACCCAGAGACTCCAATACCCCTTAATTAAGGAATAGACCTTTAATCTTATTAGGGATCCTATTATAATTTAAGGTATATTCCTTAACCCTAAACCCTAAACCCTAAACCCTTATAGATCCCTTTAAGGCCCCTATCATATTGGAGTCTCTGGGTTCTGTGAAGCTGCCCAACCTCTCACAGTCGGCTCCTCTCCATGACTAGCCTTAGAGCCTTCTACAGGCTAACATTACTAGGGTTTAGGGTTTAGGGTTTAGGGTTTAGGGTTACTCCTCAGTGTTCGCTATTCTAACTGTAGTAGAAGTAGAATATACTCCAGGGCTCCTTATCATGACTATAGTAGAGTATACCAAAACAACCTCGTTCTAATTATTGAGGCCACTAAACCCTAAACCCTTACAGTAGCCCTGATAGAACCCTTCAAGGAAACCCTTTAAAGGCCCTCAAGAACCCCTCTTCGGTCTTTGCAAGTCAACCAGGCAGAGCCCGCGCCTCTAGATGGGAGTTCGTTAGGGTTTAGGGTTTAGGGTTTAGGGAGTTTCCGACAATAAGGGGCACCTTATTTGGAGGCCTAGCAATAAGGTTCCTACTATTCAGGGTACTA